GCTGTATTTCCACTACCTCGATGTAGCCTTGGCAGAGACAGCATATGCCGCCATCATGGCCTCCATTAAGGTTGAACCTCTTGCGATCGAAAGGTTTCCCGACGGTGGCTTTTGTCAGCAAGGTTGTCGTCGGCGTCCCGGATGGCTCGTTGGACTGTCCATGTCCACCCGTCCAAAAATCGATTGGATGAGCGAGAAAGATGTTGGGGCGCTGGTCAAGTCGGGGCCACAAGCATCTCGCCGCACGCTCCGGTCATTGATCTTGTCGAACGAGCTTACGGCAGGTTTACTCTAGATGGTTTGCTTTCGGCATGACGCGACCCCACCTGAATGGTACGCGTGTGGATTGGCGACTATGTAATCTATATGCATCTACAGTTGCCTTGGTTAATGGAAGGCAAACCGACAAAAATAAGGTCGATAGGGCCTTGACAGAGACATATTGTTCAAGATCGTTCGTCGGTTTGGTGGGAGCGTGCATGGTCAAGAGTGTGCAGCTCGACCTGAGCAACCTGTTGCCGTGATCTGGGATGGCAGAGCGTCCAACTGCAAAACGGTGGATGCGATTACAAGCTACAGGCATTGTTGCATGTCAACAGGGGAATGGGCAAGGAGTCCTGATCGAAGCAGCTGCATTCAGATGAACCAAATGTGATCAATGGCGACTGGCTCCTCCTGTGTTTGTGGAGCGTCCATACCAACCTGTTGTGGGCTGCGGTGTCGGTTTTGAGGCCGGCCCTCAAGCTTGTCCGTCGACCTATATCTTTTGGCCTCAATCGCAGTGAGTACGAGCTACATCGTGTTTTATCTTATGGTCTCAATCGGCAGTGTGTACCAGCTTCCTCGCAGCCACCACGTGTCGATGAGGCGTCATATCACCAGGCGCACGCGCGCCAACGTTTCCGATGCGCTGTGGGTGACCGTGCATGGATCGCCGACACCAACACCCGCCGCGTGGACTCAATTCCCCATGAAATCCAAGTCTGGCACCAGACATTTGAACAGGTTAACTCGCTTGCGCAGGTTGAGGACGTTGAGTCGCATTCCTTGAGGGGGCTGAACATTTACAAACTCAACGCGACGATCAATAGTCACGAATCACCGACTGGACGAGTACAGGCAGTTCATTACTCGATCGACTCGAGCTCGTCACGATCAACCGCGATCAACGCTTCCATCGTCGTGACTCCAGTGCGCAACCGTTGTAGGACCCGGCGAAAGTGGACAGGATCAATGTCCATCAAGTACACTTCTACTTTCCTAGAGATGTCAGGAGTACCCCGAGCCAAGTAGTGCGTGAAAATCCCTGTGTCGTTGGCAGTCTTGAAGATCGTGCCACCGATGTCGACGGCGAAAACTTTCGAGGCATTGACGACATGCTGAACGAAGCGTTCTGGGCTCCGCGGCTCCATCGGTAACCCGAACTACGTCCGCGCTACCGCAATCGGCGCGACGACATTTTTCTAACCTTCCTCGGCATCGACAGTGCTGAGGCACCGTTGAGTAGCGTCTGGAAAATTTTTCCTCACGAGGAATGACTCAACGCATGGCCACACCGCCGAGCTTGCCACGTGAGAAAGGGCAATCGAAAGCCGACCGCCGGCGCCACAAAGTTGTCGCCAATTGTCGCTGTTTCGCAGAGGTGATACTTGCCATGAAAGGTGTATTGTGTGATGGGCTCAATGTAGGAGTTGTAGCAAATGCACATTAATTACCGCTGACGCCGTCATGGCAGTTCAAAATCATGCTTGGCAGCACATACAGTGCATAGTCCAGCACGGGGTTTGAATCGCAGCGAGCGTTGGGACCAAGGTTTCGCCCCCTGGTCCATTCGAGCTCAAACCGTCCAATTCCATCGACGCTGACGTGTGGCAAAGTGCCATGAAAGGACGCGACATCACGACACGATTAAAGTTGGGACGACTTGGGTCCTCAGCAGCTGGACAACTTGCTCTGCAGACGGTCGCTTCTGCGGAATGTGATGGAGGCACCGCATGGCTAGCGAGTACACAGCGGCGGGACACGTCGCCGTAAACGTGGGCTTGATATGGTCCTGCGCGACAGCTTGGACGACGCGCATGGCATCGACCTGGCCTTTTTTGTTGCACTGCGTTCAAACACAACATGTATGGGACTTTCACAAAGCAATAGTGTGATCGTCGACGTACATATCGATCTCGAAATGGCACTTGGAGGGTATCTAGCTCGGACAAGATGACCCCGAACGAGTACACGTCGACGCTGTCCGTGTACGAGTTGGAGGTGAACACTTCTGGCGCGGTCCACAGGGGTGTGCCGACCCCTGCCGTCATGGTCGCGTCGGGATGCTGTCGCAGTCGCGAAATACCAAAGTCGGTGATCTTGGGCGTCCAGTCCGAGTCTAGCAGTACGTTCTTCGACTTCAAGTCGCGGTGGATGATGTGCCGTTTGTGCAAATATAAGATGCCAGTCGCAATCCCCATGGCAATATGGATCTTTTCGTGGCCCCACGTCCAACTCGTCACTCGTCCCGGTGACTCGCTCGTCGTCGATTTGCGCAGCAACACGTACAAGTCGCCGTCGGCAAGAAACGGCGTCACGAGGCACAGCCGCAACGTAGTAGGATGCCACGAACATCCCAAACAGCCAAGTATGTTGTCGTGGCGCAGCGGCAACATGAGCTTGATCTCTGCGACAAAACTCTGGATTTCCACCAGGTTATCTTTTTGGTCGTCTCGAACTTGCTTGATCGCCACTTGTCTACGTCGTACGCGATGCCGTTAGCACGATGCAGAGCTGCATCGTGGCAGAGAATGAATGGAAAACGCCACATGCCGAGCGCAGTCCTATTTGGGTACAAGACGCGGGCCCAGGATGGCTTCAAAGCTGAAATTCCCAATGCCACACTGCATCCCCGTCCAGCGACACAACGGTCCCAATAACACGGCAGCACGGCACCGCATCGGTAGTCATCCAACCAAAGCCAAACGAGGATTCTCGAATGCACAGGGGGGGTCAAGAACTTCGTCAGGTCAAGCCATACCAAGGCACTTGCGAGTGAAATCATGGTAAAAGCACCGCAAGCGACATACGTGTGGTTCCAAGTGCCTCGCCAGACCTCGCCGTACGTGCCGGCAGCCAATTGCCGGTCAAACGAAAGCTCGTCAAATGGGATCTTGCTTTGCACCAAGATGGGATCGAGGGCATACATGACTGCTCGACATTGGCATGAGTGATGTCGTTCCAGCCGAGAAGGAAGGAGCGACACGGCCGCCAAACGTACCTAGAGGAGGCATCGACGCATTCGTGTAGTTCGACACGTCGATGGGACCGTGCAGGTCACTGGTTTGCGTCAGCAGGTCGTTGGCGTCGCCTTCGGTGGACGCGTGGAGCCGGAGAGTCCTTGCGTCCAGCAGGAATTCTCGTCGTGGATGCGGAGCTTGGTCAACGTACACGCGCCCGATGTTGAGTGTGCGCGTAAAGTCTTCAGCTTGCGTTAGAAAGCAGGAAGGACGGCTCCCGCCCTTGACCACTAACGAGAGTGATCTCCTGGCGGACAGAGTCCTCGCTTGCTGCTGCGCGGTGGCATGCCATATCGCAATGTACCCGATCAAGAACACAACGAGTTTAAACGTGACGACACACGCCACAAGCACCTGTTCCTCCATGGCAGCCGCCATCATTGCGTACGCCGCTGCCAAGTCTTAGAGGCCGCGTTGCGTTTGAGAGATGGCCCGGTCAACTACGCAACGACGCGATTTCACAATGGACGACAAGGTGTTTGTTACACATCCAAGGTTCCAAGATGGCCACCATACAAAGTTCAAGTCTAATTGAATGCGACAATCTAAAACTTGCGACGATTTTGGTCGGGATGGTGTGGAGGCCGCCGGGCATGCCTCACGGCGGCCTAGGAGGCACGACCAAGTGCTTCGTTCGAACTGACGAATTTG